AATGAGTCATATAATCGAAAAATGAATTATCATTGTCACGCGAATCCGTTGGATCATTGAAGTTAATCTTGAAGTTTCAGCTCGCTTGTACATATGTAATTTCACATATAGGAATTACTATTTGATGAGAACGTTAGAAATTAAATCAAAGAAACTTCTTAATAAATACCATGAGAGTTAAGAAAATAATTATTATGTGAAGTTTCCGTTATAATTTTTCATGCTTTATAAAGAGGATCCTATTTCATTTTTACATAAGTCAAACAAGACGGTCTTTGTTGCACCTTAACTTAAGACACAAAAACTAAACCCTAAGGCATACATACGAGTTAAAGATGGCGAAACTCAACAATTCCATGGTTATGTTTTTCGTAGTTGTAGCTTTCGCATATGCATCAATGCATGTGATTGCTGTCGAAGAAGGCGAACCCAAGCAACTATGGGATCAATGTCTTACCAAGATTAACCCGAAGTGTGCATTGGATATAGTTGAGGGTATTTTTGGAAACGGGACGGTCTCTGACTCTTGTTGTCCGGAACTTATCAAAGAGGGGAAGTTGTGTTACGACACTCTCATCAAATACATGACGAGCAGGCCGATTTACATTGCCCGCGAAGCAGAGTATTTGAAAAAGAGTGATGACTTATGGACTCGTTGTGCTGCTATTCCCACGATAGCTTAAGTTTTCCATCATTTATATAATATATATGTGTTATGATTTCGGCTAAGTGAAAAGATATTTCTTATATTTACGCTTATTCAACGTCATATAAATCATCATATATATTTAAATAACACCAACATTCATGAAATTTATTATTTGTGTAGAAATATTGCATATTTTCAAACGGCCTGTTGATAAGTTTGCATATAATTTTTATGGTGATTCCATTTCATGTTAAAGTTTTGAAAGCTGTCTCACTTGCTTTACGGTATCATATTAAAAAATGGAAGAAATATTCTTTTCATATATGTGCAACTTTTGGTACCCGAAGTGTGCATTGGATATAGTTGAGGGTATTTTTGGAAACGGGACGGTCTCTGACTCTTGTTGTCCGGAACTTATCAAAGAGGGGAAGTTGTGTTACGACACTCTCATCAAATACATGACGAGCAGGCCGATTTACATTGCCCGCGAAGCAGAGTATTTGAAAAAGAGTGATGACTTATGGACTCGTTGTGCTGCTATTCCCACGATAGCTTAAGTTTTCCTCAACTATATCCAATGCACACTTCGGGTTAATCTTGGTAAGACATTGATCCCATAGTTGCTTGGGTTCGCCTTCTTCGACAGCAATCACATGCATTGATGCATATGCGAAAGCTACAACTACGAAAAACATAACCATGGAATTGTTGAGTTTCGCCATCTTTAACTCGTATGTATGCCTTAGGGTTTAGTTTTTGTGTCTTAAGTTAAGGTGCAACAAAGACCGTCTTGTTTGACTTATGTAAAAATGAAATAGGATCCTCTTTATAAAGCATGAAAAATTATAACGGAAACTTCACATAATAATTATTTTCTTAACTCTCATGGTATTTATTAAGAAGTTTCTTTGATTTAATTTCTAACGTTCTCATCAAATAGTAATTCCTATATGTGAAATTACATATGTACAAGCGAGCTGAAACTTCAAGATTAACTTCAATGATCCAACGGATTCGCGTGACAATGATAATTCATTTTTCGATTATATGACTCATTAAGGGCCGAGCCAAACAAATTTATAAGAGTGGGCAATAATATTAATATACATATAAAATATAAAAATTTAATAAAAATATATAACCATAAAAAGGTTTATATAAAGGTAAATATATTTTTGGACCGAGAGCAATTAAAAATTTTATCTAAAATTTTAGAAGAAAATTCAAAATTTTAATTAATAAATGGGGCATGTGCCCAAACATTTATATATTGGTCATGATATATTAATTAGTAGGAAACAGATGAACATCCAAAACGAGAAATACTCAATTATATAGATTTTCGACAAAAAAATAAACCAAAAGCTGCAATAAGTTTAAGCTAAACCGGTATTTCAATTTTTATTGTAGCAGTTAATAGAATATAACAATCCGTAATTGAGTTTTTTCATCTCTGTTACATCTTTTGTTTTTTACTTATTTAGTGAATCGATGAAATATAACTACTATTTATATAAAACAAAATTCAATAATGAACTGGAAAAGAAACAATTCAGTTTATCTTGATGTTATCATACTCTTTTTAAAAAAGAAACTTATTTTTTATTTAATAGTCCGGATTTGTTTATTAATTGGAGGTTTCTTTATTTTTATTTTTCAACTTCTCAACCAAACATGTCGTCTAATAATTAGTTAAAGATTTGAAATATTATTTAGAAAAAAATGTTCTTTAGGTCCAAGAGCATGTTTTTTAACCTAAGGGTAGATAAAATTTGAACCTCATTTAAACATAATTTTGGACGAATTTCTCTAATGGAAAAAATAGAAATAATAATTTTTTACAACCAAGAAAAATCTTTATTTTATAATTATTTACTTAGCAAACAATCCGTAATTGAGTTTTTCCATCTCTGTTACATCTTTTGTTTTTTACTTATTTAGTGAATCGATGAAATATGACTACTATTTATATAAAACAAAATTCAATAATGAACTGGAAAAGAAACAATTCAGTTTATCTTGATGTTATCATACTCTTTTTAAAAAAGAAACTTATTTTTTATTTAATAGTCCGGATTTGTTTATTAATTGGAGGTTTCTTTATTTTTATTTTTCAACTTCTCAACCAAACATGTCGTCTAATAATTAGTTAAAGATTTGAAATATTATTTAGAAAAAAATGTT